TATATATTTGTATGTATGGTTTTAACGTAATCTGTGAACAGTTGAAGATGGCCAACAGGCTCTAATAGTCTTGAAAAGGCAATAATGTACAGGGGATGGACATGTAAGGATTGATTGACCTTTTATCCTGTTTGTATGAAACAGGCTGAGTAACCCTAATCAGAAATGATTGGGGCTAAAAGCGTTTATGAGTTTTGGAACACTTCACTATTTAGATATATTTATGTATGGGATTATTTTAGTTCATTCTAACCAAATTCATAAAGATAACATCCCTTCAAAATTTTCCTCCTTATACAAGTCAATTAAAAAAATTTGCAGTCTTAAAATTTAATTTTTCTTTATAATAATTTGTCACCTCATGAATTATGCCGAATGTTTTTCAGTTATTTAGGGTAGTTTGTACAGCCCCTGTACTTCACATTCAGCCAACAGGCCAACATCATGTACAATAAGAACCGGGGCCAAACTGGCAACAAATGACCAATTGGACAGAACAGCCAAAAGGTCAACATCATGCAAAGAAAGAACTGGCGCCAAACTGGCAACAAGAACATTCATGTTAGGACCTTTGTCTTGTGTGTTTGTGGCATCTGTCTGGATCTTCAGTATTGTCTCAGCACATGATTTAACCTCTTTGGAGGCATGCAATGTTTCCTCTTTTTTGGCTGATGCAAAACAGATGACTGAAGGCCGTGAAGGAACTTGTTTTTTTTCTGAAGAAATTTCTGAAGAAGCATCCTGCTGATCAGCTTCTGTCTTCCTCACTTCAGATTCCAGGATAGAAACAACTGAATCTGTGCACTGGCCTCTTCTGTAGGGCTTGAGGTGGCTGGTATTGTACTTGTTTTTCAAAGTCATTCCCTCAAAATTTTTTAGGGTAACTACTTTACCACTAATGGACACAATAATGTACGGCCCTGAGAAATCTGGCTCCATTCTTCCTCCTTTTCTCCCACGTTTCCTCATGTTGAGAAGCAGAACCTCATCACCAGGACTGTACACCACATTTCTGTACTTCTTCTGGGCTTTCCTGTCATATGCATCCCTTTGTTTTTGCTGAGACTTTTCTATGTTCTCATCGGCTGTTTTTCTAACAGACTCCATTTTTTGATTTTTCTGATTTAAAAATTCTACGTAACTATCCTCCTCAGGAAGAATAATGGTGGTGAGCTACAATTAAAAGTGCAAATGTAACAATATGGCTTAACAACTTAGACATTAACCTTAAGAAAGTTATTTTTTTAATAAAAAGAAATAAATATAAAACTAGTATGTCACGCCCGGCTCCGTACGATCCTAGTGTGTGCCACGCCCCCTCATTATCCACGTGTGCTTCCCCGATTGT